AGTGATGCATGTCTTCCCTAACGATACACACCCGCTGTCTCTCAGTCCGGGACCCATGGGGGACATATCTGTCCATGCATCTGTCGCAGCGCACGACACGACCCTCGATAATAGTAACCTTCACGGCGCACGATACGTCCCTCGAAATATAATATCCATCACGGCGCGCGATACGACCCTCGAAAATAGTACATCCTCTTACAACAACCATGTCTCAGATACAATGCAAATGACATGCTTAAATGAAAAGGAGGAGATAACCATTTGATAACAAAGCACAATTTGCAACAAGAAATACAATACCAACAATTAAGCAACAAGTCTCCAAATCATTCTCAACATTACACAAGGAAATACACGAATTTCGTACGCTTAACAAGGGTTTAGAAATCCACTTGCCTCAATCACTCTAATAATCACTCTGGGACTTGAGCCTTCCCTTTCCATTGAGCTTTCAAGTCGATGCAATCTATGCAAGTATATATATTCACAATAAGGTTTCAGAACTAACAACACTCACACTTTTGTGTGTTTAATCTTGACCTAAAAATTTACCCCAAATTTATAATCATGTTCGTAATTCTTGATGCCAACTAACATTTCAACTATTATATTTTTTTCAAGTTCCAAGTCTAAGGTTAAGTCCCAAATTATTTTCAATAGCATAATTCCAATGGTATTCACATAATACCATACATCTAATGCTTAATATGTATCTTAATGTATCCAACTTGAATTTTTAATGCATTAACTAAATTATAATTATTAAAATATGCGGCCACTGGTTACGAAACCAGTGGCAGACGAACAAAGGAGGAAAACGTATCTTATAATGAGAGTAATACTATATATAATTAATAATTAAAAGATATACAACATGGCCAATCAGTACGCCTCCAACATACAATCATTATGCCATACTTTTCCACTAATATTTTCTCTCCAAAGACACTGCTAACAACCACTTTCCCACAACTTATTTCTAGAATAATAATATAATATGATCATACCTATAATTACCAATATAAGGATATAGAAAAAAATTGAGGTTTACCTTGGGAATTATGGTCTTTTTCTTATCGTTGCACTACCGTTCTTCATTCCAAATCCTCATCAGTTTCTGATTTACAAATACTAGAAAAAAACCTTCTTTTTTTAAAATTAAATATAGGCTAAAGGGTATAAGGTCTTAATTAATTATTTTTTTTTCACTTTAGCCCATTAACTATTAATTTAATCATTTATCTACAATTATTCATCCATTAGTTAACTCAAGTTAAGTATTTATTTAAAATTTCCAAAAGTGACCTTCCGGGTCATTACATTATCCACCACTAAAATCATGTTCGTCCTCGAACATAAAGTAAAAGAAAGTACCTGATGTTTCAAAAAGTTGAGGATATCTGGCACGCAGTCAGACTCTGTCTCCCAAGTTGCTTCTCTTACTGAATGGTGCTTCCATTGCACCTTCACTGAAACAAGCTCCTTGGTCCTAAGCTTTCGGATTTGCCTATCCAATATAGCTATAGGCTCCTCCTTATATGTCAAGTCTGGAACCAGCTCCATAGAATCGAGTGAAATCACATGAGATTCATCCGGAATATACTACCGAAGTATAGAGACATGGAAAACAGGATTAATTGCCGACAAACTAGGTGGCAAGGCTAACTTATAGGCCACCTCTCCCACTCGGCTCAAAATCTCAAAAGGTCCAGTGAACCTAGGGCTAAGCTTGCCCTTCTTTCCAAACCTCATCACACCCTTCATTGGTGATACTCGGAGCCAAACATGATCACCCTCCATAAACACTAAGGCTGTAACTCTCCGGTCTGCATAACTCTTCTGTCGACTCTGGGCTGTCAACAGTCTATACTGAATCATACGAACTTGTTCCATAGCATCTCTAAGCAAGTCTGTATCCAAAGAGTCCATCTCCGCCGAATAAAACCAACCAATCGGAGATCTACACCGTCTACCATACAATGCCTCAAATGGAGCCATTTGAATACTAGAGTGATAACTGTTATTATAGGCAAACTCCGCTAAGGGTAAATGTCGATCCCATCTTGCACCAAAATCGATCACACACGCTCGAAGCATATCTTCCAAAACCTGAATGGTCCGCTCAGATTGACCATCTGTCTGAGGGTGAAATGTCGTACTCATATCTAACTGAGTACCCAGACCATGTTGTAATGCCTTCCAGAAGTGAGAAGTAAATAGTGAACCTCGATCTGATATGATAGAAACAGGAACTCCATGTAGTCGCACAATCTGACTGATATATAGCTCGGCTAACTTTTCTGCAGTATACTTCACTCGAATCGTGATGAAGTGGGCAGACATGGTCAGCCTATCAACAACAACCCAAATAGAGTCATAACCACCCATTGTGGTAGGCAAACCCACAACAAAGTCCATAGTAATCCGCTCCCACTTCCAAGTAGGAATA